AGGGCATTGAGAGGTATGTCACTGCAGATACAGAAGAAGCAAGATTAAATCAGGAAAAATATCCTAGACCTCTAAATGTGATTGAAGGGCCTTTGATGAATGGCATGAAAATTGTTGGTGACCTTTTTGGTGCTGGAAAGATGTTTCTGCCTCAGGTAATGAGAAAATTATTTCATATATTTTCCTATATTGTAAAAACTAGCATTGAATATGTAGCCAAAACATTCTATGCTGGCTGTTGTCCACATAGAATCATAGAATCAACTAAGTTGGAAAAGACCTTTAAGATCATCAAGTCCAACCTTTACCCCAGGACTGCCAAGGCCACCACTATATACCACATGAATCATGAAAATTCAGGTGCTGCTAAGAAGCAGCCCTATTTTTTCTTTACTTTGGAACTTCACTTGCTTTATGTAGTTTTACATGTTTGATTCCTTTCTTCCTCAGTGTTTAGCTTTATTTGAAATGCAGTTTTAAGTCTTAGTCTGTGAAAAAGAGCAAAAGAGAAAAAAGATCCGAATAAAAATTGCTGTGCTTAGCACCTTCCAAGTCTGGGCCTGTTTGCAGCTTCCAGTTGTGTTGTGAGTGGTCCGAGAGGTTGTGCTGTGAACATGAATGTCGTGTAGAACCTTAGTCCAGTAGGGCCAGTAGCCTGCTACCACAGAATGTTCTGCAAAGCTGCAATGTAGGTTGGCAGATGAAGGTTTGCTTATTATTTGAATGGGTGTAAAAGAAAGTTAAGAGAAATCTGAGGTTATTCATATACCTGCTCATTATTGTTTGTTCCCCCCCACACCTTGTTTACCTATGCAGGTGATAAAGTCTGCTCGAGTTATGAAGAAAGCGGTTAGCCACCTTATTCCCTATATGGAAAAAGAAAGAGAGGAAAGGAGAGCCCAGCGAGGTGGCACAGAGGAAGAGGCAAGACATGGTCCTTTGTTCTGTAACTTTCATAGCATGACATGACAAATACTGAAATTATTTTTTTGCTAATTACATCTATTTAACTTTCATGCCGGAGAGTTGATGCAGTTATATGGAAACTGACAATCTTGGCATAATTTAAAGTAGGTCTGAAATTCATGAAGTGCAGATTTTGTGGAACTCTGCTTGGTGTGTACTTAAGCTGTTGTCACAAGTTCTTGAAGGATGCCTTTGTAGGCCCTTTATACTAGTGTTACTTAATTCTTTCTTTTTTTTAGGGTTAGTTATTTATGGTACATCTAACTTTATGGCAAATATTGCCATTTGCTTCAACTACTTCTGCCCTTGGTGAACTCTGGAACTCCCTTTTGCATGTTCAAAGCCTGTTACCATGTTTTTCTTCATTGAGCTTCCCTTCCCCCTTCCCCTGACCATTCTCCCAGCTAAACAAACCAAATTCTTCCATCCTTTTTCTTCAAAGACTGTGACTTTAGGACCTCTTGTTACAATGGGATGGTGTGCTCACTGCATGCGTAGCCATGATCAACTTACAGGGGACAAGTGTTCATAAAACAGGATCTGAATATAGTTGTGTTTTCATATGTGTGTTTTTCCACCAGTTTCTGAAGACTACATTTTATGCAATATATAAAATATATATAGTTGAAAGTACGGGCCTTTATAGCATTTCCTGTTTCACAGCCAACAGTTGGTGATGCCTGAGAATAATTTTATAACTATCTTTGCATATACTGAACGTAATTTCTTTCAAATTTGTTTAATGGAATATATGGTAGGAGCTTTGGAAAATGAAGGTGTAGAATGTCCCTTGTTTCTCTGTACTGGCAAGATTCTACTCCGTAGAAAAGAGAGTTCAGATGAATTGGATAAAATCCCCTTTTAAATACTCATGTCTGCTGCTTCCTACTATATTTAGAATGGAA